ATGCTCCTGGAGATCAGGGAATGCTCCCGGAGATCAGGGAATGCTCCCAGAGATCAGGGAATGCTCTCGGAGACCAAGGAATGCTCCTGGAGATCAGGGAATGGTCCTGGAGACCAGGGAATGTTCCTGGAGATCAGGGAATGCTCCCGGAGATCGGGGAATGCTCCTGGAGATCAGGGAATGCTCCCGGAGATCCGGGAATGCTCCCGGAGATCAGGGAATGCTCCTGGAGATCAGGGAATGCTCCCGGAGATCAGGGAATGCTCCAGGAGATCAGGGAATGCTCCTGGAGATCAGGGAATGCTCCTGAAGATCGGGGAATGTTCCCAGAGATCAGGGAATGCTCCTGGAGATCAGGGAATGCTCCCGGAGATTAGGGAATGCTCCCGGAGATCGCTCCCTGCGGGGCAGCCCCTCTCCGAATCCCGCGTTTCCAGGCTTTTCCCGACCCGCTCCCAAAGGTGCCGTTCCACCTCTGGGGTTCCGGGAAAAAACCGGGAGCCTCCCAGTGCTCTGACAATCCCGACGGGAAGCAGAGGGGCTTCCAAAGGGGCGGGACAGGGCACATCCAGGGTGGAAATCATGGAATTCCCGAGGTTGGAAAAGCCCTCGGAGACAGCGGGTCCAACCATTCCCCCACCCACATCCGCAGGGATTTATCCCTCTGGGAATGACGACTCCCCCATTCCAGGAGTTTTCCCGACTTCCCACCTGAACCTGCCCCGGCACAGCCTGAGGTGGTTTCCCCTCATCCCATCCCAATTCCAGGCCCTCCACCAGCTCCATATTCCCGGGATACGATCCCGACACCCCCCCAGCTCCACATTCCCAATGCCGCTCCCAGATCCGTCCCCCCCTGGGAAGGGCGGATCCAAGGGCGGATTCCAGAGGGCAGGAGCTCAGTGGGGCCTCCCTCCCTCCCTCTTCCCACCTCCCGACCCCGATCTCCCGCTCCAAACCCTCTCCTGTGATCCCAAACCCTTCCCAATCCCAGATCCCAAACCTTTCCCAATCCCAGATCCCAAACCCTTCCCAATCCCAGATCCCAAACCTTTCCCAATCCCAACTGCTCCTTGCTCCGGCCCCTCCTACGATCCCAAACCTTTCCCAATCCCAGATCCCAAACCTTTCCCAATCCCAACTGCTCCTCGCTCCGGTCTCTCCCAAGATCCCAAACTCACCCCAATCCCAGATCCCAAACCTTTCCCAATCCCACCCGCTCCTCGCTCCGGCCTCTCCCGAGATCCCAAACCTTTCCCAATCCCAGATCCCAAACCCTTCCCAATCCCAACTGCTCCTCGCTCCGGCCTCTCCCGTGATCCCAAACCCTTCCCAATCCCAGATCCCAAACCTTTCCCAATCCCATCCGCTCCTCGCTCCGGCCTCTCCCCCGATCCCAAACCTTTCCCAACCCCAGATCCCAAACCCTTCCCAACCCCAACTGCTCCTCGCTCCGGCCTCTCCCGCGATCCCAAACCTTTCCCAATCCCAGATCCCAAACTCATCCCAATCCCAACTGCTTCTCGCTCCGGCCTCTCCCACCACGGTTTGGGCGGAATTCCGGCACTTTTAACACCTTTGGAACACTTTTATCCACGGCTGGGGACGGGGAGGACACGGAGCCGGGATGGGAATCGCTGCCCCATTCCCCAGGGATTGCCCCCAAATCCCAAACTTTGGACATTCCCCA